ATTAGTTAATAATTAATACACAAATTCTCCTTTACTCTGCCTCATAATTACCTTTGAAACGACCATATTGAACGATATCCGTAGATATCGGCACAGGATTTAGATCAACTGATAAAATCAGTCTCTCCCACAGTTCACAAATTTCCCCAAATCCACGAAACTTCAACCCACCTGTGACACGGCATCAAGATCTGCCAATGTCAATCAGCAAAAGATAAATAATTCTGATGCGACACTAACTTTCGCCGTTAATCCGGTTAATATTCATTTCTGATTATATATTTACAAATCCAGGCAAATTTTTTTTGCTCTCATATTACATGTAAGCATTATTATAATAATAGTTATATATTTCAGCAACGCATTCAATCCAAAGTCATACGCTTATCTTTTATTTTCTTTTTGAAAAGCATGTGTCTATTAAAATGTTTCTGTTTGATATACGCGTGTGTTTCTTTTGTTTTTTAGCAAAGTTGACAATTTGATTTCGATTTACTGTTATTTGTATTCATCTAATCAGTTGCCATGAAGGATCAAGCACAGAATATTGTTTATATGCCTCAATTGAATTATCCCGCATTATTTATAGTTTTGTATATAATGATAATTTTTGTTCGACCACATGTTTAAATGCCACAAACAAAACTGTACATTTATATTAGTACATAAAACTTTTGCCATATTAATTTGTGAAAATCTTTATCAATGTAAAATTTATTTACACTTGTCAATCAATTTTGCTTTTTAGTGCTTGCTGCAAAGCATTTCATAAAATAATATTACAATATTACGATTTTTTATCAGCTGATATAATAAATAAGAAGCACTCACTATATATAATTCATATTTGAGCTTATTTATGTAAAAGTTACATCTGCCATATATTCTGTTAATGTCTTTAATGGTAATATTTCGAGGAATATGGTCACAAAAGCAAAAGCATCATCTTCAAAAAAAAGAAATTTTGAGTTTGTTTTCGCAGAAATAAGCTCGTTATCAGAATGTTGATATTTTGTCTGTGTTATTAATGACCACCAGTAATACATTTGCTTAATTGTCAAAAGCTCATGTCCATTTAAATATTTATTTTTAATTGATTGATAAATGAATGGTACACTTTGTCATATAATCTTTAATTTCTTTTGTCACATTGAGTCTTGCGAAATTACTTTTAGGATAAATCTCAACTGTAATCAAGTCTTTACATTCATAACGTTCAATTTGTGCTTCAGTACTATATTGTTTTGAAAATATCTTCAATTTTTTACGATATCTACACAATTCATTTCTGAGAATTGCACCAATATGTAAGTGTCGTAAAATTCTGATTTTTGCTATTTCAATATATGCATCTATCACCATTACTAATTGCATTGACAACTAGATTTAATGCACAAATTTTATCCTTTTTTAGTGTTATTGTTTGGTTGAAAATGTGTTTGTCCTTCGAAATTCTCATTCAATTTCCTATTTTCCAAGAGTACGCCATAGATATAATCTGTAATATTGACAAAATTAATATATTTTCCATTTATATAATTACCAATTTCTTGCCATTTCGTTTTCTTGCTTGTAAAGTATTATTACTGCAATCAAACATCACTTTTGTCAATAAAATCTGCATGTGGCTTAAATACACTTGCATCTAGTTCGTATGCTTACTGAAGTTTTATTTTTACCATTCATTATAAAATAAAACTTGTCTTAAGCAATTAAATTAATTTGTAATCATACGATTACATCGATAACGCGATTACATCGGAAGATCACATGTCTGCGCCCTCGATTGTTGGTGACGTTGGATTTTTTGTTCCAACTTACTGGTGCTATGGGTATGCTTATTTATATGGATTTGCGAGATTTTCGTCTGTCCATGGGTTGAGAGAAGGGAGTTGGACTGTTAGTACGTGGTTAGTGTCAACTGCCTGTGTCGATATCTACGGATATCATTTGGTATATGCGTTATAAAGGGCAGAATGTTTCGGGTTTTGTGGATGGATGGTTTGGCGAGATTTGTATGTTATAAGGAATTGCGGGATGAAGTAAGTGGATTTTGGGCGTGGGAAATATAGGACCACACTAGTCTAACTCTTAAACTATTGTATTTTCTAGACAAAACACATAAACACTTATTAAACAATTATTAAACGATTTCTACAACAATTCAATCACGACGTCCTTTCTGGACTAAAGAACCTAACCGTCAGCGATTTTCAACAATTAACACAAGGTAATGTATGAATTTATTATCATTATTAGCGAAGAGTTTGTATGCAACTTATTTTTTTGTTGAGTTCTTTAGCCTATCTACATAAAAATTTTGGGTTTACATGTTAGGGCGGATGTCACAGGCTATATCATGATAGGCGAAATGATAGAGAAGATAAAAATTGGGATAAAGTATAGAATAGAATAGCAAATAGCGAAGTGGGTAGAATAATGGATAGAAATTAGGATAGACAGCAAGTTAGAAATGATATAGGATAAAGTAAAATATTAACAAAAAGATAGAGCAAATCGGTGATCGTCCATTTTGGAAGGGTTATTAAATTAAGGAATTAGCGAATTTTTCCTTATTATAGTAACACTGGTAGTTAGAAATGGACAAAAACTTAATCTGGAAGTCGACTTTGGGAACAACGAAAATGAGAAAGCGAAAGGCTTTTCTTCAAAATCCTAATAAGAAACCATCAAATGAGTTATATGATTCGTTCATTGTGGCATCGACTTTGGAGCCAGAGTATATTTAAATATTACATGAGCAATTCGTAGTTAAACACAGGTTCCAGTGATAATTCACTTTTTATCACTGTATACATGTATTTAGGTTATTTTTTCTTAAAGTGTACTTTATTTAATTTCGAGATGAGTACAAACGTACTCCTCAGAAATTTTCCAGAGTATGATACAATAACAAATAAATAGTAAAAATAAAATAAATAATAAAATTTGAAAATACAATCAATTTAATCTCTTATAGTACCGACATAGGCTTTATGTATTGATAAGTTCTAGTAAAAAGTTTAAACCATTTTGACCGGGGCGGTTCCAAGAACGGTATCGCTAGGTTCGCTGTTAGAAGTGTCGATCGCCACCAAACAGGTATACTGATTGAAATTTTTTAAATTTTGATATCCTGGTTTTAATGTAACCCAGCTTGAAAAAACCCCGCCTAAAGTAGCAATAGGGTCGAGATCTAATACTATATCACTGGGACCTGTGTTGTAAACATGGACATCTAATGGTAGACATTCGTATTCACCACAATTTTCACAGCAAGCCCTGGCTTTGGTTAGAATACCGGTGGCTTTTATGGAACAATTTTTAAATTGTTGGAACTGAATCTGACCAAGTATTCGTTGATGTTTATCGCATCTCGTAGGTATAAAGTCACAATAATCCAATATACAATCACAACATTCTTCTGGTGGCGGCGGTTTGCAGCATGTTTCGTTTACTTCTCCTCCTCTTTTTACTTTAGAATGAGGACCAGGAGTATATCTAATAATAGGTGGTGGCGTTGGAGTTGGATATTCATCATCACAGCAGCAGTCATCTTTTTTAGGTGGAGCAATTTCGCCGGCATTGACCGATGAAGAGAAAACAAAGATTAGAGCAACCAAGAAAAATAAGAGTGAGATTTGTTTGTTCATTTTCGTTTTTTTCGTTTTTAATAAAATTATTGGATATTGTTGCTTTCCAATGTTGGGAAAGAGTCTAAATCGTTCGCGTTTTTATAGATGTTGGAAAAAGAGACATTCACAATTTCGGAACTAAAGTCCACAGTATAGGTTTACCATCTACAGCTGTCTCAATAAATCAGCTGTGTTGTGAACAATAGTGAATTCTATGAGATTTCCCAATTTTAAATTTCTAATTGTTCAATCCAGATGTTATTAATGGTTTAACTAAGGTAATTTTCATAATGTTAAGAACTTTATGTTCATAATGCATTTAATTAATTGTCCATAATTGATATGTCTTTAATGTACTTAATTCATAGATCATATCGATATGTCTTTAATGAACTTAATTCATGAATACATATCGATATATTTGGAAATTTTATTCTCGAGATTTTTAGTATTTACACGTACGTTCATTAAGTTTCTTATTTGTTTCAGCTTTAATTCGTTTATACATGTAGATGCGAAGGGATGTACATGTAATATTTTTTCCAGTATGAAAAAACCAAATCTAAACAAGATCATCAAAAAATTTGTACGCTTTATGAATTTTGCCTATTTCGTTATACAATTCATTGTTGTGTATCTATTGCGCCCTTATACTTCAATTTACTTTTCTCACGTTTTATTTGACGTGCAAAGGAATTTTGAGGACCGAATTACTTCTAATATAGTCAATCAATATAGATATAGAATTTATATCAAAAACTTTTGCAAAGTTTTCTCTCCAAATTTCTATTCTTCATTTTTTTGAAATAAACTCGAAACAATAAATAAATCAATATTTTTACAAATTTCTAAAAAACCTGTCGGCGCTTGCTACATCCGACGCATTACAGAGGCGTCTTTAAACATAAAAGATAATGCTACATAATCTCTTCTTGGAACTCATTCTGTCGAATGCAAATCTGCTTATTGTAGAGGACCAAATTGTCTATCTGATTCTCAGGTTAAATTGCGTCAATATACATGTATTTTTATGGAAAAATTAATAATTATATTTGGTATGCCGGTTACGTAAATCATTCTCGGATTCTATTTTTAATCCGGAACATTTCATCTGGATTGTTCAAGGCAAAAAAATTCTTCCTTTAAGTGCTTTTTATCTCGGTCACAAAAAATTGTAGCGTAGCAAGGCAACTCTGTCTCCTCTCTGTGAGTTGTAGCTTCGTATAATTTAGAGGATGCTACCATTAATTAGATAGCAATCATGATTTAAACTGTAAAAGTGTTAGAATTTTACGCAATTTATGGTTAGTATGTGAATTCTTATCTTCATGTACTAATCAGGAGAAATGATTAGTTATTGTTTTAGGACTAGAAAAATCTCTACAGATTACACGTACATGTAATAGCATGACTGTATAATCGTGTGATATAATGAAGACTAAATAACTATAATGAAGTTGAATTCAAAACGGTCTATAACAAACCGTTCGAGATAATAAATTTTTTATTAATAGACCCGAGCACTTCATTATATCAAGAGAGTCTTCGCAATCTAGAGAATTTTTGTAATTCAGTAACGCGCGCTGATATCATTTTCAGAAAATCTCATACAAGCTTTTCTTTCAAATATCAAGTTAAAGTAAAAAACCATTAAACTTGTAATTTTCAGATTTCTCTTACAAACATTTCATGTCTGGTGCGCTCAGTATAAAGCTACATATAAAACTTCAAAAGAAGAGAAATTTCTAATAAATTTAAACTGTTAAATAATAATTGATTAGAAATTATCTTTGATGTGACGGAGTCCTTTTCCTACAAACGATCTATGAAATCAAAAGTGAAGGCGTTTTATTAAGTATGGTAAGAAAATTCCTAAAACACAAGTGTGCCAAATTAACCTTATTTTCTTATTAATGCAGAATTCCAAAGCTTCGTAACATTCTAATTGCAAAAAATGTAGCTGTTTTAATGGTACACGTCCATCGAACTATAATGGAAATTCTGTTAGAATCAAGAATGAAAAGATAGCTTTAAAGTAAAGAATATCAAATAATTATTAATAGTTCAACACCAACTTAGACATTGAATGAATGGTTGTTTTAATAAATCTCGAAGAATTTATAAAGAAAAGGTTAATTTAACATTAAAGAAATTGAATACGTTAAATAATAAATCATTAATTTATTAAAAACTGACTGCAATTTATTTTAATTGACTCGCAGCAAATAAAACAATTGCGATTAGTATTGCAAAAATAATATCAAGCACTTTTGATTTTAGGACACGAGCACAAAATTCATGATTATCAAAACATTTAATCCTGTTATTTTTTTCGAGCTTTGGAATTGAAAATAAAATTCAATTTTGATCACCAATAAAATAGAACTTTTTCGCTTGGTATAAAATTTATGATGATGATGATGTGCTTGCAGATTAATTGGTTTATTTATTTATAACCAGTCACGTGACGTGACAACCGGAAATACCACGTGACAATCAATTTTTCACATACAGTGTGATTCAAAATTATTTGGAAAAGTAAATCTATTATTACTCCACAACCACTGAACCAATTATAATAAA